TATTTTAAAAATACATATTTGAGCACAGACTGTACAGTTTAATCTAATACTTCAACAGTATCAACACTAATACAAATATTAATTTTTCATGGTTACATATGAAATGTATCACTACTCTGATGGTTTCCTCACTAGGAAAGTGATATTGTTTTATTTTCCACAATTTGTTTTTTTTTTTTTTACTTTGCTCGAATGTAGGAATAATCTGTACTTCCAGTAAGAAAAAAAAAAAGCGACCTTAGGACACAGTGTCTCAAACAAACAAACTTTGTTTGTGTATGTTCCACCCGATACTGCTGCCGGTTGGCTAACTGATGGCTCTATGCCCCTCCACCACCTCCACTGGAACTTGAGGGGCAAGAGCCGGGTCAAATGTTATTTATAAATATTATAGTCAGTAGCTGTAACAGCGTAGGAACAGCAATCAGTCACATTACTGTACGTAGCATTAAAACGTAACAGTGTAATTCCCCTCGTCAACTAAATAAGATTTTTAAATTTATTTCATTCCTGTTTCCAAAGTCAAATCCCAACCCTTTGTTGTGAGGTAACGCCAATCAGCTGCTGTAATGTTTTGTTGGCTCATGTTTGATGGGCTGTTATGTCACGTCAGGACTGTGGAGACTAACTGTGGGTAACGGTAACACTCGGAGTACTACATCAAAAGAAAGAGAAAAACGTTCTGTCAGCAATACCTGCAGTGCAAGTGTCTGAGACAAGATTTTTATGACAGCAAAAAAAAAAGAAAAAAAAAGAAGAAAAAAAAAAACTATCAGCACATCTGGTGGAACAAAGGAGAGAATCACGTCTGTAGCCTTTAACTGACAAAAGAGAGAAAATCATGTTTTTTCTAAGGTGTCCAGCAGATGGCACAGCACCTTTGGTCTCTGAGGGAGAGGAGAGGAGAGGAGAGGATGAGCGAGGGCTCAAAGGCACACACGGAGAAAGAGAGAGAGAGAGAGAGAGAGAAAGAAAGAGATATTTTTGTGAGTTTTGTTTTCCCGGTTGAGTGATCCTTCGGTGGTCTGATTGTGAAAAAGACTTGTGGGAAGTGTTCTCTCACTGCAGGTGTCAGACAGCTGATGGATAAGATTATTTGTGGGTATGAGGAGATTGCATTATGCTGTGCATGTGTGTGTGTAGTATGTGCATGCATGTGTGGGTGCTAAGAGTGCGCCCTTTCTCATCCAATGCCTGCCTGTTAAAAAAGGTGTTGTGTTGCATTCGGAACACGGTCCAACATAGAATTTGCGTTTTACACTCACACACTGTTCTCCATATGTTGTCACGGAATAGAAATTACAGGGTGGCAGGAAGGAAGCCTGTGCTCTGAGACACTCACACACTCTGCAACTCTGGGTTGTACAAAGACCTGCTGTGTGTTTCAAAATAAATAAAATAAATTTAAAATACGATGAGGGAAAAACCTATTTAAAAGTTTTGATAGATTTAAATTTGGATTTTGTTGCTAGTGAAGGAAATGCATTATGTTTTTGCTTAAAAAAATAAATCGTTCCGTTAGCATCATTTCGCTTTACTGTAAGCGACGGTCCATGTCACAGCGTTGTTCCACATTTTCTGTCGGCTTTATGGAATTAAAACCGCAAAGTGCTTCAATTTGTTCCGTGTTTGTGTTGGTGAATGTGTTTGGTCAGGCAAATTATAAGAACAAGCGGATAATGGGGGGGTTAGCCCAGAAGATAAGCTATAATATCTTGTAAACTGGCAGTGGGGACAGTTTAAGCCGTTATTATGCTAATATTGCTACAAGTGACTGTCAGCAGCAGAGAAATACAAACACGCCTCTACACGCTCGTACCGCCAAAAACACAGTACAACCAGGTACACACGGCAGCCATGCGAGGGGCGCTGTATTTAAGTACAATCACACAATATGCTCTGTACAAATGCTATAGTTAATATTAGCATCATGGTTATTGAACACTTTCTTGTATCAATATCAGAAAACCTTAAATGATGTTCCTTATTTTCCTTCTTGTCCTTTGGATATTTTTAACAGCTACTACGTAACATGATACATATACCATGCAAGCTAACACTGCAGTATTTAAAAAAAAAAAAACAATTGCACATAGAGTGTACATACAGTTTTATGCAAGTGTATGCACCAACAAGCCTAAATAGTTTTGCTCTAAGTCACACAGGTCAAACTCAGGCCCGGGGGCCAAATCTGGACCACAGTGTAATTATATTTGGCCCGTAACATCATATCAAATGTGTACTAGAGTTAGCCTGCCAATATACTGGCAGGATAAGTAGTATTAGCAGCGTATGAGCTATTTTATAGCTAATACATTTTGTTTTTTTGTTGTTGTCTGTGAAAAAAAAAATTAACATTAAAAAGGAACTCTAAAGGCTACAGATAAAGAGACGCAATAAGAAACAAATACTACTGATGTGTGTCTTATTTCCAATTGAATTTCTCATGTGTTTATAATACTAAGCTTTGATCGTTCCAGAGTCAATATTGAGTTTGGCCCACAGCGTCTTCCCATTTTTTTTAATTTTGGCCTACTTGAGTTTGACACCCCTGCTCTAAGTCATATGTGGTCCCTTTACCCAGCCCCTGAATCTTCTTAAAACAGTACTCAGTACTCAGTTATGGCAATGAGATAGTATGCACAATCTGCAGAACTGACTAGGTTCCTGTTAGTGATGTAGTCAAGACAACCTAACCTAAAACCAGAGCCTAGACCAAGACAGAACCAAGTGGTGGAGAGACTAAGTCCAAGACCGAGACCAAACTAAATAAACAGAAGCGATAGTGTATTTGTCATATTGAAAAAAAAAAACATATATTTCAAACTGTTGGTAAGGCCAGTAGTAGTAGTCTGCAGTAGAAAGTACTTTCCCCTTCTCTATATGGGGCTTTCAAAAGCAGCAACCATTCAGTGCTGTCACAACCAATGTAAAACTAAGAGCTGAGTTGTTTTCTTCAGAACAACAGTGTCTCTAAGGTACAAAGCACAACGCTGGTCCAATCATTCCATTCTGATTTGCACTTTAGGCCACCATAGAACAAAAGACAAAGTAGATACAAGTACAAATAGTTGACAAATGTTAAACACTGATGGACTTGGAATAAACAAACCACATCATTCAAATTAAATTATCGACGACTTTGACGACGTCCCTGCCACAGCCTACGCCCTCATTTCTCCTTCTCTCTGTCCTGTAGGTGTGGCAGCTGGGTGGGGGCATCAACACTTTCAAAATAAAAGACCTTATTGGTCACATTTAAATTCGGGAATTTGACACATTTGTGGTTTAAAAAGATTTCACAGAAGCTGTGGCATCGACTGGTCCAGTCCATCTCAACTGAGACAAACTCTCTAGGTCAAGAAGGTCCATGTATGATACTCCGGGCCTAGTTTTTTTCACAAGATATGTTCAAACTAACTGCTGTTTTTTTTTAATGTAGAATATAAAATTCCTTATTTCTACCATGACACTGAATAACAATCAACAAAAAGATGTATTTTCCCCCCGAGGCTATCCTCTTCAGGCGTTATCGTGAAAGAACATGCATGAAGCCACAGCTAATTAAGTGGAGATGCACCACAGATGTCAAATATTAAAAGTTTGCCTCTAAGGCCTTGGCTTTTTATTGGTAGCTCCTGCAGAGATACTACTGTATAGACTGTATCTGACAGTACTGATATGCCTAATAAGCACAGCGGCCACATAAGTTGAGAAAAAAAAAAAGTTATTTCTTTCAATATGGCTGTGAGGTACCGTACATAATAGTGTGACTGTGTATATGACTGATGTCACAATGATGTCATACGTCTCTCTCTTTTGAATCGTAAATCCACCCAAACCCACTCCAACCAGAATCACTTTGTATTTTATTCTTCATTGGGCCTATTTTTTTTTTTTTTTTTTTTAAAGTCAATGCTGCTCGAGCAGTTCTAAAATACATAATGAGGTCATTTGCATCAGACTGCAGATTGGCTGACCTTTGCTTGTGCCAATAATTACTGTAAAACCCATCTCTGTCTGTCATCACCGAGGATGTGGCAGGGACCTCTCTGTGTGCACAAAAGGTTAGCTGCAGGCATGTGCACAAGGAATTATGAAAAAGCTGGAGGAAAATGTCATTAGAGCGCGGGGAAAAGACACTTGGAATTAACAACTGGAAATTTAATCAGTGCGGTTTTAAGGGTGAGTGTGCGTGTGGGGAGGGGGGGTGTGTTGCAGTTGGGCTACAAGACGTGTCCCAGGATAAGCTATGATTTAAATAATTCTGCGCCACTTTACGTGTCCGTCATTCTTTTGTTGTATTCATTTAAACATAGAGAGACTCCACCAAAAATAAGCTATGAGGTATTTTTGATTTCGATGGATAAATGGATGGACGGACGGACGGACGGACGGACAGACAGATAGATAGATAGATAGCTTTAATAATCCCTTCAAACCATTCCCTTTGGGAAACAAAAAAAAATTGATAATTTGAAACCAAATAATTTTGTCGCTAGCTAGCTCAAAAGCAGTTGCTAAATAAAGCAAAAAACCAATTTTGCTTATTTTTTTCGTCTGAAATCCTCCAAATTTGAAGTATTTAAAGTAGTGAACATGAATATAAACTGTTCCTAATGCTGACAGTTACAAATGAAGACCAGTCATTTTATATAAAAACATTATTTTCCTTCACGTTTGTTTCTGTAGGCACGGTGATTCGTACATTTATTGTTTTGGGTTTGAAGTCCCTATCATTCAGCTTCACTGCTATCGATTGTCATTCGCAGTGAAACGTGACTGTGAACCAGATGGAGCTTTTACTGTCTCACTGTGGCAAACCCATGTTTCCGTCGTATGTTAAAGGATACCCTCCTTCTATTGTAACATACCAACTAACAGACCCGGCAGCAGATTGCATGAGTTTGCTCAGCACAGCGTAGAATTAAAAAAAACATTTAGAGTGGGAGCAGAGCAGAGCACTAACAAGAGGCTCTGTTTTGTACTCTTGGTTCTAGTCGCAGCGGCGCGTCACGTTTCACCTGCCGGATGGCTCTCAGGAGAGCTGCAGTGACAGTGGTCTAGGGGACCATGAGCCTGCAGGCAGTGGCTCCCTGCTCACACAACCTCTCCCTCTGGTGCAGGCACAGGATGACTTCTACGAGCAGGCCTCCCCTGATAAGAGAACCGAAGCTGACGGCAACTCCGATCCCAACTCCGGTGAGTCACGTACTTATCTCATGAATATCCAGTTTCCATAAGTAGTAATGACGGGTTAGGTGTTGCTCTAAATTACTCTCTATCTTTCTGTCTCTGTGTATCATCTTTTGCAAAAAGGTTTTTTTTTTTTTTTTTTCTTCTTTTAAGTTGCAGAACTGATGTTTCCCACCGGCTGTAAAATAAACATTTCCATCTAACTTCATAGCTATTAGAGAAGTAATATGTACTTAAAGACAATGTTATCTACTGGGTTGTAAACATGGTTTTGCGTAAGTGCAGGTTAAACACAGGCTAGGAGAATCACTAAAACTGCTTGAAAAGAGATTATAAATAGTCAAGAAAAACATCACCTTGATATACAAAAAAAAAAAAAAAAAAAAAACCCTCTGCGTACCAAATACCATTTAATTTGGACTCATTTAAATCCTCAAGTAGGTTTCTAGTGGGTACGCGAGCGGGTCATTCATTTCTCAGTTAATCATCCAGACTTGTTCATTCCTCCCAGGAGCAAACCTGGGCCTCCCATAGGCTCCTTACCTATTTGTGAAACTCATTTGATTTATTTAGAGATGATTTCCCAGTTGGAAGTCCTGGTGCTCAGTAGAAGATGTTAACTTCCCACTATTTCTGGTGGGATTGTACATCTTCGACCCAGTTTTCTCATTTTATCATTAAGAGGTGAGGTGTGTAGGAAGATCAAGCGCGTTGCCCCAAGGTCGACGCCAGCTTTCCTACAGAGGGTGAAACAGTCAGCATGACGTAAACACACGTGCTACGAGTAAACTACACTCGTATGGTTATGTACCCGCTCAATAAAGAGGGAGAAAAAAAAATTGGCAGATGTATTCATTAAAAACGCCTCAAAGTACAACATGACAGAAGAGTCAATTTTCTGTTAAAAAAAAGAGATCTGGTGTAGCTGTGGGGAAAATAACTCTGACTAAAACTGGGTTTTGTTTAATTTGAAAAAAAATAAACAGTTTGCAAAAGTGTGATAGTTCTGGGATTTTACATACTGTATGTATGTACTGTATATACAGCATACAGTATATATACAGTATATACATACAGAAATATGCGTATCACAAATACAGAGATACGAGCGCCCCGTAATACGAGTATTCCGAGATACGAGCAAGCCTCTGAGCAAATTGTTGCTTCAATATGTGAGCAAAGATTTGAGATACGAAGTGCTCCGATTGCGGCCGAGCACTCGGAGCAGCCAACGCCGCCTCACTCGTTCACTTCGGTGTTCGCTGACTTCCGTATGGATCTCCTGCGAGTCTTCCGTATTGTGTTTGTGTTACCTACGTGATTTTCTCTCTATTTTGTGCATTATTCTTCATAATAGTGATGAGCCCTAAGAGAATGAGTGGAGAGGATGGTAGTGAGAAGAAGAAACGCATGATGACCGTGGAAATAAACGCATGAAATTGTTGATAAATATGAGCATGGTGCCCGCTATACAAATCAAAGTAAATTCTATATAATTCTATACCGATTAATAAATAAATAAATTTCATGTTATTTCTTATGGGGAAAAAAATGATTCGAGATACGAGCTCGGTCCTGGAACGGATTATGCTCGTATTGCAAGGTATTACTGTATAATGTATTTCTGAAGTACGTTCAGTTTATATGAGTAAATACCAGAGGTGGGACCAAGTCATTGCTTTGCAAGTCATAAGTAAGTCTCAAGTCTTTGCACTCAAGTCCGGGTCAAGTCTCAAGTCTCAAGACAGGTAAAGTCCGAGTCGAGTCCAAGTCAAGACTAAAAAGTGTCAAGTCAAGTCCCAAGTCCTGCCGTTTCTGTCTCGAGTCCTTTTAAACAAAATAATAATATATTTACACTGATCACTTTGGGTTTTGGAGAAAGTATCAAGTCTTGTCGAGTCAAAGGGCTCGAGTCCAAGTGAAGTCACGAGTCCTTGATGTTAAAGTCCAAGTCGAGTTGCAAGTCTCTTTACATTTTGTCAAGTCGAGTTTAAAGTCATCAAATTGATGACTCGAGTCTGACTCGAGTCCAAGTCATGTGACTCGAGTCCACACCTCTGGTAAATACATATTTAATTATTTCTACGTATGTAGATCGCTTTAACGTAGTCATTTGAATGATAGCTCCAAAACCATAGACGTGTGGACAGCTCTGTTTTCAACCAATACCAACATTTAACTCTGAAGCGCTGACATGTTTTGTTGCTAAGGTCTTTTCACTGTTTTTGTCAACATCATGACAACAGCATAACGTGACCATCAGCAAATGTTGTTTTACTCACTGTAGGCTCCGTGGAAAACATGAACTACACATGCACTTTTGCCAGATTGACCAGTGCTGAGTGAGTCATTGTCAGATATATTTCCCGAATGTCTCCTCTTTTAGGAAAAAAAAAAAAAAAAAAACCCTCAAAACTGTCCGTCTTGACTCTTGCTGATAAAATATGAATGGCTTTGGAAGGCACCTGTCACTGCTGTGCTGTGTAACGGAGCAGAATATCATATAAAACTACCGTCCTCTACTAAAATGGGGAGGAAAATCATGCTTGACATTTGAGTGATTTTACACTGTCACAACGGTCACATTTAGAAATAGCAATGCACGGTCTAATTAATGCAAGATTATAGGGAGATAACAGGCAGAGTGCCAGGTTATAATTACCGGTGGTACCTGTAGGATCACGTACTTGTAATTGTATAATTTGTAATATAACTGCTCACCAACGGCAAAGTAAAAGCAATATTTCAAATTATATGTTGAATTCAGTTTCAGCATATTATGACAGTTCGGGAATAATTTGTGTTATAAAGCTCTGCTTTACCTGACGATTCTTGGGTGCCTTGAACGCACCATGTTGTAGCGCACATGCGCAGTGTGTCTGTTCTGTTGCCGACTGGCTTTCTGTACTTAGTGTTGGTAAAGTTCTGGTTGCTTATCTTTGATCGTCCTCCCATATAATTTATTTACTGTTATTTAATGTCACTGTTATTACTGCGATGCTCCACTGATTTTAATTACACATACTTACAGTGAAAATATATTGTGGGTTTCTTCGTATATTTTAAAGTTGAGTACCTGTTTGAAGCCGAGAGCTTCCAAAACAAAATCAAATCATGTTTTTGTATGTAAATCTGTATGCAATTTTTTGTATGTGGAAAAAAAAAAAAAGATTTAGATTTCTGGATAAATGGCACATGCGTCATCATGCTTTTTGTGTTTTGATGCAGTATTGTCAGCAGTTGGACCAGTGGAGGCTGTTTAATGCAGTAAATGTTAAATTTCCTCATGAGTTTGAGTAATCAAATCACTTTGCCCATCAGTGTGTTGTTCCTGAATATTATCCTATTAAAATCCCTTTCGACACAGCAGTGATATCCAATAATTTAATTGGCTTTTGGATGAAGTGGAGCCATGAGTAAAAAAAAAAAAAAGAATTAATAATCCATGTTCTCTAAACACCAACACCTGCTACGGCTATTTAAACCCACCTATTACCATGGTGATACTGCATGTCATGACCAATTATAACATTGAGAGAATTATAAAAATCAAGTGGATTGAAGTCGTTCCAGCTGCTATAATGTCACAGTTCGACAGTTGATTAGATGTTTTGCAATTTCAGTTATGAAACGTGTTTATGACATTGTTTTCTAAGCCATTTGTGATGAACCATTACAATAGTTTTATAGAATCATACTTTTTTTTTTTTTCAGTGCGCATATATCTACTTATTTTAATTCATCTTATGGGGCTCAGATTTTTAGAAATGTCTACATCTGTTTCTTTTAAATAACAAGCTAAATAAATGCAAGCCTCAACTTTATATTTGTTCAAATCACCCAAATCTATTGCTATAACATGTGCCAGCAGTACAAATGACATGACAACAGAAGTGGAAGGCAGTGTTAGCGATGCTTGTTAAAATAAGCACAGTGAGACTGAGTCAGAGTGGCAGATAGTTATACCTTAACAGAGAGAGACAAAAACACCCAGACGTAAGTGTTCTATGTTCTCTATCCTGAAAATTGAACCACTTTAGCAATTAGCCCATTGATGGATGGCTGATGATGATTCATCTGCTGTTGAGCAGGAGCCAAATGGCAAAAACTATGTCCAATCTTTACTCAAAATACATTATAAAAATGATTTAAAGTTTTCAGAAACATCGAAAAATATACCCAGTAGACATATACAGTATAGACTTACAGTATTTTCAGCTACAATCAAAAGCCTTACATATTCATGTGCTAGCCACGTGTTGGGTTCAGTTTTCATTACCACAGAGACAATATAATTGCGCAGAATTGTCACATTAGCTTGATTGATACAGCGCAACATTCATTTCTCTCTGACCACCAGCCTTGCCCACAAAACAAAACCAAATCCCCAACACACCATTCATTTCTCTCTGACCACCAGCCTTGAACATTGCCCACAAAACAAAACGAAATCCCCAACACACTTTTTTTGTTCTATATATTATGTAGCTCTATAAACCAGATATTAAAATTATAAAAACAGGATTTACAAGAGGATGCAAAAACCAGGAGGTTATAAATCATAGCCTTGCCTGAGCAAACAAACTCTCAACATTAAACACTATGTTAGCAAGGTGTAGGCATGCTGGTAAGTGCCTACGTAGCAGCATGACGCTAGCTTAGCTTAATTCTCTCTGGCACAAGGCTTGGAGTAGGATGACACTAACAGTCCAATAAATTGCTACATACTAGCACCTAACTTAAAAAACAAACTGCTAAACACGCTAGAAGCTAGCTTGCACCTACTTCCAGCAATATCTATGTCCTGACATAACACGGAGAATCCTCATCTAAGCATCTGAATCTACTTGTCAGTTTTTCCACACAACAGCAGCATACGTATATGAGGTCATGTTCAATATGGAGTTTAAACCCTTCACTGGTTTTCTGGCAGCAGGAAAACAGCCCAGTAATGCACAGAAACCATGAATGAGCCTGGGTAAATTTGTTGCAGCTCCAGTCTCAGC